GAACAATTGCTGGTCCTGTGTAGGGCATAAACGGTCATTCATTTCATTTCAATGGAAGCATCAAATATTACAGGAATTTTTTTTTAAAGGATGAGACACATCACATCAAATAGTTGAATACTATAAACAGCTAAGTACATGTATTATGAAGTATGCAGCAGCCAAAATAGAATAAGGGCCCTTATTTGAGGTTGACAATGAATGTAAAAAGTATTCAATATCTACATATTTAAAACACAATTTATATAACATAACACAAGACTATACTTGATAATTCGAATTTCTATGTGAGTGGAGATAAGAGGGAGAAGAAGGGAAGGAATGATATAGAGATACAGAGAGATTATAAGGATTACAATAGATCCTCTGTAACTTGTGGTGTTGCTGAGAAACATATACAATGTATAGGCATATGCTATGTAAAGCGTTGGTCACATCCCACCGTGCGTGTTCTTAGTCCGTACGGTTTTTGGTGAGGCCACGGCCGCCCCTTTTTTCTGAAAACGTAGGGAGGGATTGGCAAAGGCAGGGAGTGAGTACCGGCAACGCACGTCACACGCACTGCGGTGAATCGGTAGCCCGAACGCAGCCCGAACGCAGCGAAAGTTCCTCGTGCACTAAAAGTGCTACGGCGTGTCTGCGTGCTCGCAAATCCGTACGGAGGCGATACTCATCACGTACGGATACCAAAATTTTGCCCACGTTTTTGCACGTAGACAGCACGCACTTGCAAGTACGGCGGGATGTGACCACCGCATTACTGTTAGTTGTTAGTTGTAGTAAAATGAGGTCACATGTCTTGAGTAGAATTCTGATAGTCACCATATTTATTTAGTAGAATACACCATGTTATAATTCTGTAATCAAATTAAGGATTGCAATAATGTAATCTGCTTGAAATGTCATGTTACAAGGCAAATTTAATCTACGTTAATGTTCAATTCCTTAGGCCCAGTATCCACATTGAGCCACCCATTTTCCTATCTGTTGGGCCCTATTCAGAATAACATTTGTCTTGCAGCGGCAGATATTTACTCTGTGGAATGTGCCTTTTTATTTCATATTGTTTTTATGTACAAGTAGTATCACTGATATTTGTCCATGGGCCGTGTGGGGCCCTCCCTTTTTGGTGTGTCTGACGGCCCCTTTGCAGCAGAAAATTTGTCAGGGTAATTTCCTTAGTCTGTGCAATTAACCCGACCATTCCTAATCGATTTTGAGTCGTACCTAAAGTAGGTCTTTATAATAAAATTTGGTCAATGATACAATAATAGGCCTTTGGCCACATTTTGAGGGCATCTGGCAGGCCCTAAGAAGCAGAAAATGTGTCTGGTATGGGCCATCCAGTACATTGTGGCATTCAACTATTAAGTTACAATTAGATTCAAATGGTTTCTCCTTCATTTGATCATGGCCCATTTGGGGCCCACTTTTTCAGTGTGTCTGTGGGCCCATTTGCAGGAGGAAATTTATTGAACATGATGATTTCCGTAGTCTGTAAGATAAACCCGACCATTCAAAACTGATTTTGAGTGGTACCTTGCATATTTAATCTGGGTTAATGCTACATATATGGGCTTTGGGCCACATTGAGGGGCGTCTGGCGGGCCCTTAGCAGCAGAAAATTTGCCTGGCATGGGCCATTCAGTGCTCTGTGGCATTCATGCATTTAGTTAACACTGGTTTCAAGTGGTACCTCAATCGTTTGATCAAATGCATTTTTTAGGGGGCCCCCTTTGGGGGCGTCTGGTGGGCCCTTGGCAGCAGAATTTTTGTCTGGCATGGGCCATTCAGTGCTCTGTGGCATTCATGCATTTAGTTAACACTGGTTTCAAGTGGTACCTCGTTCGTTTGATCAAATGCATTTTTAGGGGCCTCCTTTGGGGGCGTCTGTCGGGCCCTTAGCAGCAGAAATTTTGTCTGGCATGGGCCATTCAGTGCTCTGTGGCATTCATGCATTTGGTTAACACTGGTTTCAAGTGGTACCTCGTTCGTTTGATCAGAAGCATTTTTGGGCCCCTCTCAACTGGCCCGAGTGGGCACATGCAGCAGAGGGACCCCGACAGACATCCACATTTGGATATCCTAGGTTTTTCCCCAAATGTTCCAATACTCAGATATTGGTACCTTGTTCGTTTGATCAAAGTGCTCTGGGCTGCCGGGCTATATCTTCTTTCGGCCTTTCTGGAGACATGGATACATTTCCAGAAGACGTACCTGGTAGATATGTACATATATATATATATATATATACATACATGTAGTCTGGAAGGAGGAAGTGCTTCAGTATGTAGTTTCCCTGTGTGAGAAATAAGTTGGTATCACTATACAAAGGTTATTGAAAGTATAATACCAACAAATCTGTGATGTTAACTAAACACAATGCAATGTACATCTGTAACATATTTCAGTACCTCGTAAATTAATATTTCAAATGATCACAGGTATTAACTCTGAAACATATTTTACGAAAAAATAAAAATAAGTGGGCCCCATAACATCAAAAGTTATGATTGATTATATTCCTCAAATCAATCAGTTATCTCCTTCAATAATACATGTAACTTGCAATAAATGTTATGTCATACATGTGGATGCATATACGTGTAGTAAGACATAATTAATTGCAGCGGGATTTTTACAATCGATTGTCAGTACATTTTTTTATCTTAAAGGCGGTGATCACATACAGGTAGTCGATATTACAAAGAATTGCTGATATAACAAAAGTAGATAAATATTCTTGAAATGACAAAGAGTTTATATCCTGTAGTGTTTCTGTAGTGTTTTGTTAGCTCTACATAGAACAATGCCCTTGCAGTCGAGCCAATAGGACTACATGTAGTAAAGTCTTGATATATAAACAAACCATGAAAGGATTTGCCAAACCCTGTGCATCATCTGCAGGCACAGGATGAATATTTTCAAGTGGACAAGAGTACAAGACTACTCTCCTACACTCAGTGTTTTGCTTCATATAATGTACATGTATGCATATCAGATGTTACACTGCCGATGGTGCTACCTGCAAATAATCATTTATTTTTTTTTCTTTCTTCAGATTTCTGTCTGCTGTGTCTCGTGTCCTGTGTACATGTAATCTAATGAGGCTCCCTGCCTTCAACAATAATATTTCCTGTTTTTCACAATATCAGATAACTTTCACTTTTGACGGATAAGATCAAGTTCATTTTCTGTCCATTAAAAGCTGCACTGATCTGAAATCATCTTTATGATAGTTATAATCCATCCTCCCTGTCTATTAATAGATTCCATATGAACGTTTAAGAACAATTACTTTCATTTGCACTTCCTTTTCATGCCCCAATTGAAATATAAGGAATAATGTACTACACACACACTGTACATGTATGTTTTTTCCAGTTTTTCAATATCCCATTGATCCAATGCTCTAACCTTGAACTCAATGGAACATTCGGCCAATGGAACATTCAGTAGAACAAAAAAAACATTAAAAATGTAAGAACTCAAGGCTAGTTCACATGTCCTGCAGCTAACGGTGGCAGTTTTTTTAGTGATAATATAACAGAGTGCGCTTTACTTTTCTATAACGTAATTAACAGTGTATTAACCGCACCTTTTTGCTGCCGAAAAAAATCGGAAACTCAGAGACTAGAACAACACTCAAATTTGTTGTTTTCATCTTGGTTTGAAAGTAATCTTTCTGATAGATCTCAATATGTAGTTTATAATAATAATTCCTCCAATTTTTCTTTGATTACATGGTGTACCACAAGGTTCTATCCTAGGTCCCCTACTGTTTTTTAATTTACATCAATGATCTTACACACACACAAAAAAAAAAAAAAAAAAAACCGAGGGCGGTTTATACAACGTTAATTACGGTATAATTTCTTATAATGCAGTACACCTACATCCATAAGAATTTGTTGAGCATGGTTTTTTTTAAAATCCCTACTCGCCATTCATTTCCAAATGTACTATGTATTGGCTACATGGGTTTCTCCTGTCTAGTGTAAACAAGTCTTCACAAAATTCATAGGAACAGTCAATTGATGGCTTCGTTCACACATGCTGCCCAAAATTCCCTCAAGGGAAAACTAAAATGGCAAAAAGGTATTTGCTTCACAAATCTGTATGTTATAAAACACATAACAAGTCAGTTTGCTTTAATATGGGTCTTTGTTGTGCGCAGTTACTTTTTCACCTCCACTTTTTCAATAATTTAAAAAGTAAAATTTTTACAATGGGTACATGTATTTATGAGGTGGTTTAGTACATGGTCACATGTGAACAAGGCTAAAAGACAGGTAAACTTTGTAGAAGATACAATGATTAGGACAAAGACAAACAATGGAAAAGAAAGAAACAAAGGAAAAGAAAATAATAACTGCTGATCACTTTAATCTGTAGGCCTATAATTCCTACAGAAAGCTCACAGATTTGCAGAGACTGAAGAAGAATGGCAGCTGAGCTGTGTAGAGGTTAGTTTGAAAGGAAAGCGTAGGAAATCATCTTGTAATCCTACTAGTAGATACTGACTAGCAACCTTGTACATCATCTGTTTGGAGCCAGAAGGGCATTAGCTCATATCATTTTACACAGAGTTATACCATCCTTCTGGCTCCAAACAGACAATATGATGATTACGCTTTAGGCTTTCTACAAGCATACATGTACAGTACAAGAACTTAGTTATTCCCCATCTACACCATCTACAGGTACATCTATGTTAGGATAACTAACCCCCTGTGCTACATGACCCCCTCCACCTTTGTACAAACATGTGAAACTTAATCTTTACAAATAAGCAGCAGCCCTACATGTACTTTCAACCAATCAGGGTACAGCATTGCTACACGAGAGAGAGAGAGAGAGAGAGAGAGAGACAAGCAGTATAGTAAAGGGTTTGAAAAGCAAAGCCTGAGAGTAAGAGAGAGAATACCAATCACCACTTTTTCTTGACTTTCATTTCTAAAGGTACAATGGTTATAGAGACCAAAGAGATATGAGACTCACCACATCCACTGATTCCACACGGATAAGTCTGGCCATGGTGTTTCCTACCCTTATAAATCCACTCTCGCTGATATGAATCCCGAGGCCTGAGCACTCCCAACAATCTTAACCTTTCCTAGAAACTCAGTTCCAAAGCTTTCCACAGCATGGATGAGAGCATAACATAGTCATGTTAATCACGTAGGAAGAGTCAGCAGAAGTTTGTTTGGTCCAATGTCAAATTGTCAATCCTATATGTGCATGGTACAGTGGTCTCCAAAGTTTAGCCTTTGAGAAAGAAAGTAACAATGAGAGAAAAACAATGCCAGCAAACCACTCAGCGATCAAGACTGGTATCATTGTACGGTATAAGAATCCCAGGGCACACCTTCATGTAAACAGTGCTCGTCTCTGTTGACAGTAGCACTTCCCTAAACTTCCTATTGATGTTCATTAGAGCTTGGAAAGGAAATCTACCTGGCCTCAATTTGGCGCATGTTCCATTTAATCTCCGTCGAAAAAGGAAGGACAAAAAGAAGTCAAGATTGTTTGTGTGTCTATTCAGCTAAATTGATTCCACACAGGACAAGTATGATCGCCCACTCAATCCAGGTACATGTAATGTAGAAGAATCGATGGGTAGGATGATCAGATGAAATTTCCACTTGTTATCTCTTATTATTAAAGTTGGATCGCTGATATAGTACATGTAGGCCTCTAAAGTATAACAAGAGCAGGTAAAATTTTCCAAATTGGATTCCTGGCATCAACTAAAGCCCTTCCTGCGTAGTGCCCAAAACATACGCCCAAGCAAGTAATTAAGAGTAGCCCACCCCTGCAGGAAAAAAAGAAAAAGAAAATCCTGGCACAGGCCTACAATGCGTAGAACTTCCTCTGTCCAGATGTCTGTCTGCACATCCCCCCCCCCCTCTTTCTCTCCCTCTCTCTTTCTCTTTCGTTCTTTCTCTCTCTCTTTCTCTTTCTCTTTCTCTTCTCTTTCTCTTTCTCTTTCTCTCCCCCTCCCTCCCTCGCTCTCTCATCGACTCATCAATCAATCAATCTACAGGGGTACTCCCATTTACAAGAAACTGATTCAGAAAGCTACATTTATTATATATAAAAGAAGAATAAAACAATTCTGTAATGTTAGGGGGTGGGATTATCAAATTATTAAAAACACATTGTCTGCTGAGAGCCAGAAGGACATTAATTGTCATGATTTTATAGCTATACAATACATCAGTTGTCATCCTTCTGGCTCACAACAACCAATAGAAAACTAAAGGTATAATATTTACTCTTTAGACTCATGCACTCCCCGAACACCTGCCCATTACAATTTCACCCTAACCCACCACTGGGGTCAAGCCAACATGACCGCAGAGAGGATATGATATCATTCTTCTATATATCTGCCCACTCAAGTCTCTGCTCACTCTTGTATTAGTCCAGTAGTCAATAGACACAAACGTTGCACGTCTTTGCTGATACAACCACCTACATGTACATCAATATGTTGAACTCTTTAAAGACCCTATCTGAAGAAAATACAACTTTATATCAATGGAAAGCTGAATGAATGTATAATACACATACAGTATGTACAGGTATCAATACAAAATATTTTCTGTCAGTAATGCACAAAAGCAAATTTATTCTTGACATAATCTGATAATTATTGGTATTAGCAGCATAGAAACTTATTAGGCTTGCCTAAGACATTTCTTTTTGTCTCCTATTTGGATAGCAGACCAAAAATGTAACTCCAAACATTTAGGAGAGTCAGATGTTAATTCCATCATCTTAATTAATGAATTGGCCTCTTAATTGATAGATTTCACATTGAGTTATGCGTTGTTTGATGTGATAATTCTCTGTTCTATTTTGCTGCGACCCTCTCTCTCCCTGAGATTTTCTGCCCTCGCTTGGCAGCTACATGTATCTGTCTTTCTTAACATAAGCGTAATACAGGATCTGAAAGCAGATTCCTAGATCAATCTCCAAAGCTTCTGATTTTCAAAGCTTTAGAAATTGAGTTTTCAGAGGGCTGTTACTCCTCTGACAGACACTGAAATTGATATCATTTTAATCTGTGGCTTACAAGCTTTCCGTTGATACATAATTCATCTTTCATGTTCATATTTCATTTCATTTTTCACTTAAGACAGGGTCTTTAATTGTGAGAAAGTCAAACTTGTAATAAGAGACTGCTTACAAATTAGCATTGTATTGTTGTTCTTTATTGCTGTTGTTTATAATAATACCCAAACTAAAGTAAGATTCAAGATCACAGTAAAAATGATACATTAAGAAATTTGCTTTACAAATATTTATTTTTCATACATCAACCTGGCATATTGCCATTGGTAGATTAACGTTCCTTTAACATAAATGTTATTCAAAGTTTTCAAACAAGGCTCTACACCAAAATCATGCTACTTAAAGATATAGAATTTAATGAAAGCATTCTCGATGAGAGTCACATCTTTTGGATGGTGACGTTAAAGGTCGTTCCACAGACGTAAATAATCATATCTGATTGGTACGATTGATATGGCACGTTCACTTGGTCAGCTCGCTGTTTTCACCTACTGTACAAACTGAATCAGGGGACCCAGGTTCGAAACCGAGTCACATCTTTCGGATGGTGACATTAAAGGTCAGTCCCCAGACGTAAATAATCATATCTCATTATCTGATTGACAAACGTCTGTAAAAACACAATTACACACACACACAATAGATGACATCCTCTTTCCTGTAACAGTTTAAAATACAGCTGCAAGAATTGAATTTTGACGAAGAAAATCCAGAAAAAGGAGGCGTCTACAGTCAAGCTGGTAACTGGAACCGATGTATTTTAGCCTAGAATCTAGGCCTAATTTTGGAGTATAAATGCAGCAGATTGTATGTAGGAGTTAGGTGTCTGATCGCGCACCCGATGTTGTGTGCTAAAATTCTTCCCATAGAGATTACACGCATCCCTATGCAACCTACGTGCATTGCGCGACCATGCAAAAAAATTTTTTTTTCAATTCTAGATTCAAACCTTTATCTGTTGTGATCCTGAAGGTGATACTCAATAAATGAGGTGTCAAATGAAAGAGCAGGTGAATTCCAATATTTCCAAAGGGGCGTAGCCCCCGAAATTCTAAAACTATCTTGGTCAAAACAGCAATTTAAACATTGTGTCCTGGCTAACTCTGAGGTTTGTCACTTTTGAGATATGACGCCCCGATCGATAAGTAGTCCCAGTCCTAAGGTACAATTCTATGTGCTTATATTTTCGCCAGCCGCCAGGGATCACAACTGATAACAGTTTAAAAATACCCTTCTCGCTATTTGGTGGATCAGCTAATTAGGGGAAGTGCGCTCCGCTCAGTCCAAACCATGGTTACATCGCGTAACATCTCCGCGTACGAACGAAACCCCAAATTCAATTACACATTATAGTGAATGAAAGTATGGGTGGCCGTTCGTGGCATAGAACCCGGAAGTGAATACATGTTGTAGTCAATGGCAATAGGGACTTTTAGATTGAGTGGACGAGAACATGACGAACGCCGACTGATCACGCGTGTCAACGTACTCAACTGCCCATGTTGACTACAATTATAAATCTTTTAGATTGCACTCGACGATATAAATGCATGCAGGAAGTAACACTATGAACATGACAGACAAAGAAAGAGGACAAAATAAACAGTTCCTCATTCTACCCTCAACAGTAAGGTAGACAAAAGAACATCCCTTCACTGCTATTATGTAAAAATGTGTAGAACAGGTGAATATGCATGTGACACCTGTTCTACACATTTTTACATAATAGCAGGGAAGGGATGTTCCTTTGTCTACCTACAATGTAACCTGAGGAACTGTATAGTTTATGCGCACGCGGCATACTAGTACCGTACTAGATTTAGGAAAATCAAGGTTGACACATTCTCGATCGCATGCGCAGTGCCTTAAAATGACGTCACACGTTGCAGTCAAAGCTGTCGACGTGCAAATCTAAAAGTCCCTCATATCGCGGAGACAACGCACGTTGTCTCCGCGATATTGCCATTGACTACAACGTGTATTCACTTCCGGGTTCTATGCCGCGAACGGCCACCCATACTAGACCTAGTCAATATGGCACATATCGCGGAGACAGCGTGGCTCAAGCTGCAAGTCGCGCATTGCCTTAGCAACATGCGTACTATATGCATACGCTTGCATATCGCGCGATACAGCTGTTTGCCTGAATTTAGCAAAACAACATCACTCTGCGTGGACGTCTTTTTCGTCGATTTTGACCAAAATGATATGAATATACCAGCGTTTTGGAGGGGCTGTAACTTTTGATAGAAACATCGGTGAGACATGAAATTTGAAATGTATTAGACTAGTATTCTGATAACATTTTTTATTCAAATATCAAACAAAAATGGTGAAAAACGATCCCAAATTGAAAATTGAAAAATCGTTCAGACACCCTAGTACTAGATCTAGATCTAGACCTAGTAGGACTCTAGGAGATCGATCCGCTGAAAGAACATTTTACTGAAAAGTTTACTGGCACAATCGTGCCAGTAAACTTTGCACAGGAGATCCAATGGCCGGCTTCTGTCTCTAAAGAGAGGAGCCGACCCTACCGTAATATGAGAGGCAATGAAAAAAAAGAGACAGAAATTTTCGGTGTACGCAAGGAGATGCCGAGACTGCAGCTGATTTTACACTTGGCCTTGTACTGTAGTTGTACTTGTACCGGTACTGGTTTTACCGTACCGACGTTAGTGACCAAACCGAACCCCAAATGTCATGACACTATACCGGCGTCTGACCGGGGAGATCGAGACGTGAGACCCCTGTAAAATAAATTAAACAAGTCTGCTTACCAGAGTCGAAATGGTCGAACTCGCATTGCTATTGCTGGGAGACCGTTGGACTGTGACGAGTGACATCTTTGTTGAGATCTTCCTAGGATCCTAACTGATTAGGATGATTGAGTGAACAATATTCAGCAATCCCCTCTTTCGTTCATTGACTACAATAATATCACTTCCGTACAAAATTGTAACTCCAATGAAAATAGTATAGTAGTTCGCTGTACTTTCAAGACATGCAAAATCTCCCTTTGGACTGCATCAGCGAAAATCTTATCGAACCAGAAAATTTCTTACATACTGTGTTCACTCCCAAAGTATATACAAAGAGAATTGTATATTTAGTTGAACATATCGAGCACTATTTGTAACCGAATTTTTGTTTACGGTATCCTCAATATAGAGGAAAAACGCCGATCTAGATCAATGAAAAAAATTGGAGCAAGGGGATTGCTATTAAAAAAAGTAATAGGTGGGTGAATGGATTTATGTATAAATAAATATATCCGGGGGAGGGGGGGGGGGGTACTCATATATTAAGACATACGGGGTGGGGGTGCAGCTCTAATGGGTAAATTTTCACCAAAAAATCCCTAAACATGGGTCCCACTTTTAACAAAACGGGTCCGTTTTTTCAAAATATCAAAAATGTGCATAATTTCCGGGTGTTTCGGGCCATGAAAACACCCGTAAAACACCAGAAAATTTTGGGGAAATTGTCTTTTTTTTCGAGAAAAATACCCACAAATGACTCCTAATAATGGGTATGGGTTTCGAGGCTTGAGCGGCACACCCCGTCCAAACCAAATCTGAGTATCGTCCCCGGATGCGTTATGTTTTTCTGCGGCACAGCTTGGGGTTAGGTGCGCGTTGAGCCTATGGCAAAGTTTAGGGTTAGGGTTAGGGTTATGGTTAGGGTTAGGGTTAAATCAAGACCTCTTTTTAAAAAAAAGCCCCAATCTGTGCCGCCGAAAAAAATGACACTCCCCGAATATATATAAGACCGTAACTAAGAGGCAGGCGCGGATCCAGGATTTCTTAGGGGATCGAGGGGGCCCAATTTTTTTTTTCTTTTTTGCTCCCGAAAATTTAAAAAATCGTGCCGGCAGAAAAGTCGCTCAGTGGGGGGGGGGGGGGGGGGGGGGGGGGGGGGGGGGGGGGGGGGGGGGGGGGGATCACTATTTTGTTTTGGCTCCCGAAAAATTTGCTCCCCAAAAAATCGCAACGACTCTGCCAGCCGCTGAATAAGCGGGGGGGGGGGGGGGGGGGGGGGGTAGTGAGCACATTCTTCTCTGATATGTGCCACTTTCATTTTTTTACACTTCCTCTTTTCCAATTTCTAATAAGTACCCCTTTTTCCAATTCTTAAAAGTGCCCCGTTTTCATCTCTGCTGAGTACCTCTTTTTAGGTGCGAGAAGTGCTCATTTTTACCTCTGATAAAGTGCCGCTTTCACTTGACACGTGCCCCTTTTTTTCCCCTTCTGTTAAGTGCCCCTTTCCTTTTTAAACATGAGCCCCTTCCCCTTTTAATAAATGTATCTCTTCGCCGGTGATAAATGCCTCTATTAAAATCTGATAGGTGCCCATTTTCCTCCGATAATGCCTCGTTTCCATGTTTATTAGTGCCCTTTTCCATTTCCGGTGAGTGACCCTTTTCAGGTTTGAAGAGTGCCCCATTTTCACCTGTGATATTTGCCCTTTTTGCTTTGACACTTGCTCATTTTTGTTTGTTTTAAGTGTCCACTTTCATTTTGACAAGTGTCCGCTTTTCCTTTCTAATTGATGTGCCATTAATTTTAAAGCGACTATATAAATTAGCAACTTGCATTTATAGTTGATATTAATGTTCCATTCATGCTTAATTTGTGCTTAAGACCCCATCAGCATTAGTTTTCCGTCTTTGAGATGCGATTATTCGCAGTGCGACCTCAAAATGTTTTTTACTTTTATTTGCTCGCTTGCTTCGCTCCCTTGCAAATCGATATTCAAATCATCACATCCAACTGCAAAGCATGATGCGCGGAGAAATAAATATTGAATCATTATCACTTACAATGTAATCACAAGTGATGTTTTCCTGGCATCTATACTAATTACTAACACAATATAGACCATAAAAAGCAGTGCACGATAACGTCTTTTTAAATCAAGTAACGGTTTAAGGGGGGTTTGACCCGATGACGATGCGGATACTGTGGTATCTACCCTGGCTTTTTTCTATTTACATCACATTTTTACTTGGCAGCCCAAGGGGGGGGGGGTTCAACCCCCTAACCCCTCCCCCATCCCCCCACAGATCCGTCAATGGGATCTTTTGCAAACTGGAAGCAATAAGCATAGTCATGTAGGCGATGGAAAAAAAGTGCTTGCGAAACGGATAGAAACTTCGCGGCCACAGAGATGACAGAAAATAATATGACAATGAAACCAGCAACTGTGGCAGGATTACTGGCGGGGACAATCTGCATGCTGAAAAAGCACTTAGAATAGGTATATCGGAAAATTAATTCAAGACTAAGTTAGAAGTTAGAAGTTAGAAGTTATAAAGGAGATAAAATCTTTGGTATTAGTCATGTTCGACTTAAAATTACATGCCCCCCCCCCCGCCCCTTACCTGGTAAAACCATCTTATAATATCATCCCTCTTTCTTTCTTTTCCCTTCTCATTATTCTCCTTTTCCCCTTTTTCTCTCCTCCGTCTTTCCGCCTTTCTTCTTTTTCCGCCTTTTCTCTCCTCTTTCTTTCCCTTTCCCCTCCTTTTTCTCCTCTCCCCTTTTCTTTCCTCCCTCTTTTCTTCCTCTTTCTCTCTTCCCTTTTTTCTTTTTCCTCTCCTTTTTCTTTCCCCCTCCTTTTTCTCCTTTTCTTTTTTTTTGGCCGGGGGGAGGGGGGCACGTGCCCCCTGTGCCCCCCTGGATCCGCCACTGTACTATGTCCAAATATATAGAGCTAACATGGCCGGAATACCTCTTGCTCGTTTGAGAAAAGTCCAGAAGAGAAACTAGGAATCTATTCCGGTAAATTGGCCTTATAATAATGTTCTCTTTTGTTTACCGTCGACAAGACGCTGTCAAGAGAATGAGCAGGGCATGTTACCTCCTCTTCGGATGTGGAACCCTTAAATAATATTTGAAAATTTATGCACTGTGCAGGTATAAATCAATGGTAGAAGGCAAGATCCCTCGACGAAAGAAGGCCTTACATTTTTATGAGCTCCCCCCCCCCCCCGATTCTTTCCTCATAATAGTAGGATGTATCTATTTACGTGCAAAGGGGCATTTTGTAGACATTCACAGGGTATAGAAAGCAACCAGTTAGACCGTGTTTATACGGTTGGAACTGGCTGATCATACCCAATTAAGAAAGATCGGAGAATAAAACAACTTTTCTTTTGTCTTGATCGTGATTATTAAAGAAAAGCGCTCTATAGAAAATAAAGCTAAACAACATCAATGTTTCAAAGAGAGAAAGAGAAGAGAGAGAGAGAGAGAGAGAGAGCGAGATAAAGAGAGAGATATACATATATGCGTAAAATATGCATCACGTGAGTAGCATCAACTGAAAGAGGAGACTCTAAGCTTTCTAAATAAGTATCATTCATTAATTATGGTTGTGATTCAGTTATGATAAAACATCGATACTTCTCGGTTTCGTTTTTTCTGGGACGCACTTTATATAGAGAGAGAGAGAGAGAGAGAGAATGCAAAAAATCAACATGATGGCACTTACAAATCGTAATAACATTTACAGGATTATCCTTATATGCAAGGAGCCCAGTGAAAGTCCGAGTAGTAAAACTAGTCAGACGATAGGTGCCTATATATTTGGATAAATTTTCCTTTTCATAAATGCGATAACATAGAAAGGGGGGTGGGGAAGAGAGAATGGGGATCTTGATGTACAGTCTATAATAGGCAAATTTGTGAATGTTGAACCTTTAACAACAAAAATCCCATGTCGGTATTCAATAGTATCTGAAGATCAATTACTAGTAGTACTATTCAATCACTCTTTTTTATTTGATTCATGTTTGATTATACAATTATTTGGTGAATGATGTTTTGTTTAGTTTTGATGTGAACTAATAAATATGGTCGTAAAACCACAACAAAACATACGTTACCCCCCTTTTTTTTCAAAACAGTATTGGTGGTCAATTAGCTGAAAGGGAGTGTGTGTTTACTTATTTAATAGCTCTTTGCTCGGTTATCAGTTAAATACATGTCGGTAACTGCATAGATGGATATTTTGTGTAAAATTACTCTACCTTTTCACTTATCTGCCAATAATTTGTAGCTGGCGCTATAACAACTAGGAAACTTTACAGAAGGAAACGTCTAATCGAGTCCGGTTAGATGATAATGATATTTTTCTCATTCGGGAGAACATCCCGGAAAACATAAACCATGACATATTGACATCAGTGAAATGAAAACAAAGGAAGACATAAATCCACGAAATAAATATGGCAACTTCCAAACCGTCGATATTCTGATATGATTATGTTCAAGAATGCCAGTAAAGATTCTGAAAAATATTTTATTATTTAAAAGGAAAAACCCTATTCCGCTTGACGTATACAGAGTGACAGCCTGGCTGGCAGGGTCAATGTTTAAACAGCTCCACCTCTGTTAGAGGGTGGAACAAGCTGAGCGACCCCTCCCCCCACCTCGAATTCTCGAATGCTGAATGGTTTCAAACACATCACATACCCTCCTTAATCATATTAATCTCCCCAATATCATAGGTGTATATCCATGAAGGATCCTAATTCTCTTTTATCTGCGAAAAAAGGAAGAGTAGGACCTAATAATGGCTTACTGAGTATAAGATAATAATTTTGTCCCGAAATAATTTGTTTCATATAGACCTTTGCAGTGCCTTTGATATATAATCAATGACCGACATGAGATTACTAATATTTTTATTGGAGATAGATAGGTTGATATCATCTCAAGAAGAACGTTTGTAGAAGAAAGTTGAAAGAAATCATACTATATGTTTTCAGTTTCAGTTTTATTTTTCATTTCCAACAGAACAGTGATTTTGACAAGAAATTAGATATACGATTCAATATTCAATAATACATGTATAATACATTTTACATGGTTTGAAGTTATAAAATAGAAAGTATACATAAATATCCAGTTAAAAGTTTGTTTGATATTTTTTGTAAAGATAAACCTGTGGAAATGGGGGATCCGCTAAAAAGCAAAGCTTGTAAAATGTGGATCCTCAAAACAATAAAAACCTAAGTTTTGTAACATGTAAATATATTGGCTT